GGAGAGGGAATAAATATAACCTGGATGTGAATTCCCTCCTAAGCTTGAACCAGATGTGCTTCTGCCACCAAAGTAATTTGCTGGATATGTTGTAAATTGATGCAGAACAGATGAGTAATCTGAGATATGATGAGTTCTACCGGGATCGTGACCCGAGGCATAAGTATTTCTTCTTCTAACATTCCTCCATGAGTCATCACCATTGATAGAGATGCTACTACTTCCATGACGAATGCATGTGTGATTTGAAGGGATGTTCTCATTTCCTGGAACTGGTCTCAACATCCCAGCAGAAGATCCAGAGGAGCTTCCAACTTCAAACCATCTGCTGCCTCCTCTTTCACAGGGTCCAGCAATGCTGGATCTTTTCCTTTTAAATGGCCCTCTATGGATGCTTGGGTGATGATCAGCCAGACCAACACCATATCCATTACTCCCGGGAATGCATACATTCCCAGCATATGATGATAGTTGCTGAAAAGGCATGTATGGAGGTTGTGGGAGAAAATGAGCTGCTTCCGTGTTATAATTTGAATAATGATATTGATAATTTCCATTGCTTCTGGAATTCAAGTGTTGGTCTTCACCACTTGGTAATACATCTCCAGGTTGGACAAAAGAGCCACCTGGAGCAGCAAATCTTCCTGAAATTGAATATATTTGACCTGGTCATGGTGGGAATCTTTCTACATGACAATACTTTCCAGTAAATTCACTTCTTTTTTTGCCAATCATTTCAATGTGCTTCCCAAATATTAAGAAAGTAACACAACAACAACAACCCAGTTGGATCCCACGACTTGAGAAAGTAAAGAATGTGATTTTCAACAATAGTGTGACATTTTCTTTTTGAAAGGATCATACTAACATCACTTAAAACTGTGTTCTAATTATCTAATTGCAAGCATAATGTCAAACTCTGTGAGACCCACACGTCATGACAAATTGTATAGATAGGAGCATAATCACTGTCTAGAATAAGAACTGCAAAATCTGTTGGTGATTTTAGTGTGGCATCGGCCATTTTATCTATTTGAGATTTACTTAGAATGTACGAGAGTTTTAATAGACGTTGATGACGAGTTTGGAGGTGCGGAGTGCACGATCGTTCAATGATATTACAAATTCCATAGCGGGGGTCCAGGGGCAGCAGCCCCCCGTAGTGGGGTCCAAGGGGCGGCAGCCCCTGGCGGGATCCAAAGGGTAGAGGGCCGGGGTCGAGCTGAGGATTTTATTAAACGGACTTCTGGCTCTTAACGAGGATATGACCTTAGATACAAACATTTGGAGAGCTAAAATTAGGGTAGTTGGGTAGGCATTTCGGACTGGATGGTAGTTTTCCCATTTGTTGCTATGTGCCTTCTTCTGGTATGCTTTCTGCTTGATGTGCTTCTCTGTCGTTATTTTCAGTTCTTTGTTTTTTTGTGCTCTTTACTTTCTCTGCTTTATGTGCCTTCTGTGCACTTGTGCTATCTGTGTTATTGAACCGGGGGTCTCTTGAAAACAGTCTCTCTACTTTTGAGTACAGATAAGGTCTGCATACACATACCCTCCCCAAACCGTACTGGGTTGTTGTTGTTGTTGTTGATGGAGTTCAAAGTAATGTACATTCGAATGTATAAATCAATACATTCGAATGTAATATTTATCCATAGCGCCCTTTGTAAAACAACTTGATACATTCGAATGTTTGATCCTAAACATTCAAATTTTTCACGATAAGTTGCAACAGTTCACATAACTGCAGAAATAATTGTTCATCATAATCCGCCTTAAACATTCAAATGTTTATGTACAAACATTGGAATGTTACCCCAAAATTGTGTTGTTTCATCAACCAACACGTCCGTGCGGAATTTTGCCTTTAAACATGGCTCTAGGGTATGTTTTGAGAAAAATGGAAATTCCATACTCGTTCTAGATTACTTACATCTTATCCACTTGAAATATTTTGGTATACCTCGAAATAACTTTAATATGAAAGTGTTAATACGCAATTCACCAAGTCAATCAAGTCGTTCTTCATGCTCTTCGTCCGATTTCCCAACAAATCCACTCCTATATTTTTTTAAATAAAAAAACCGCCCCTAGATATTTACCGAATGAACACACAATCTGGATCAGTACCTGTGGCAGTAAAAGGTTGCTCTGGGATATAGCTTTGATGCTGATTCTGAGCATTTCCAAATGTACCAAATGAATTTGTAGCTTGTCTATGTCCCATTGCTTCCCCTAAGAAACAATTTGGCAAGCCTGGATTCAAAAAATGAGCCATGAAAGTGTAATTAATAAAGGCTGGGCATGCTTTATACACAAATTCTGACATCTCCATGCATAACAAGTACAATTTTCAATCGAATTGAAAACAATCACCAAATCTAATCAAGAATCCAGCCATAAATGATAAAACTATACAAGTGAAAGGAAAAGTATACGTGTCTAAGAAAATGGTTTATGTTTCCATTTTCTAGATTTCCCCATTTTGTTATTCCCAACATCCGTCATCTGTGCCTCTACGGGCATACTACTCAGCATGTAATTAAGTTTTTGCCAAACCTATCAATGTAAATGAATTGGTGGGCATACTCCTAAGGATATTCGGTAAAAAAACTTCCCAACGGTCTTAAGTATTGGTTAAGCATGTTGGAGATCAACCTGCCAGTCAAGAAATAAATTGAGCAGTTCTCTCGGCCTTGGAACAACAATTAAGCAGAATGAAACTTATATAGCTAACTGAATCTGAAAAATACATATCATGATTTTCGTATGGCTAGGAAGACTTGAGTTTTAGTGAACAAAAGATAGCAATTGCAAGAATAAATGTCCACATGTTCCCTATAAAACTACTGGAGATGGAAGGGATAACCCTCACCTCACAAACCAGAGCGAGAAAGATTTAACACCCTACTACCGTTCTATCATAATCCTCAACGGGCAAAACTTCCTACGTAAGGTCATGTACTCGGTCAGCTTGTGTTTAATCATGTCCTGTCTAGTAGCCTCTGCCAGTTCCTCTTCAGCCTACCTCTCCAAACCTCTGCAATCCTAAAACTCTTGCACCTCCAAACTAGCGCATTCTCACCCCTCCTTGTTAGGAATCAGAGATCAGAGGCGGTCAAGCGGAAGCGAACAAACACACACACACACACAAATAGCAGAAATAAGAACACGAGATTTAACGTGGTTCGGTCAGTAACCTACTCCACGGGTTGCAACTAGGGTTTATCTTTTATTAGGTGCTCACAGATTATAGTTACATGATTGGGTATTTATAAGATATAAACTAGGGTTAACAACTTGCTAAACAAGAAACAACTAATGGGCCCTTTAATTAATAACTAAAACCGGCCCCCCATGTTTCTTCCCTTTAGCCGACCAGGCTTAAAGCCCACAGCTCTAAAGCCTTCACCGAATAACCCAACA